AAATGCTAATGTGGAAATTTGAATTTGGAGCACGTGTGAATCTACTTTTGTACAAAATATGAGGTAATTTCTGAGTGAGCGTTTTGCGCACAGAATTGAGATTTTTAGTGATATTACTTGAATCTGTTGCTTTTTTTTTTCTACAGTTTTAAACTGGGTTCCACATATACATAGCAGCCAAGACAAACTCTGTGAACATGTATGTACGAGGCCTGATAAAAAAAATGTATCGGGATTGGTGTTATAAAAAGAAAACTACAGCATGTATCAATTCGGCACTTACTCTCCTTCGAAGTAATCCACCTTTATTAAGCATTATTTCCATTGATGGAGACATCCTTGGAACTCCTTTTTTTGCGATAGCGGGCAATTGCCACATCACATTCTCTTGGATTTCCTCGATGCCTTTAAATTTTCAAGTGAGATTTGAGTTTTGAAGAAAAAAATGTCGGAAAGATCTGGGAACTATGATGTTTGTTGGGCCTGGGGACTGTTGCGCTGCAAAAAATTGCTGCATAAGCCATGGACATTGATGGAATCTCTGGTGTGGTGTGACGACTACACTCTACATACTTTCATTCTAAGCACTGCTATAAACAACGGAAGTGAGACAATATAACTTACTGTGTATGCGCAACAGAGTTTATGGTCAATCTGAGCCAAGCGTACTTTAGCTCCGTCACTATTGCAGGAGCCCCGATACTTTTAGATAAGACCTAGTATAATTTTAATTTTACACTTTGAATACACGCTAACATATATTCGACATCAACAGAGAATATAACTTTATTTAATGTACTATTTAGCTATTATTTAATCTGTTATGTACTCAGAAGAAAAAAGATAAATATTTTTGCATTTTAAGACGACAGGGACAAAAGGAAAGAAAATATATTTCTTTTAAAAATATCATATAAAAGTTATTCGGCTTTATTTACATTATTCGAACTGTTATCCTCATCTTCATTGCCATATTCACAACGTTTCGGTCGTTGTACGCTCCGGCTTTCTTCAGGTGATTGGAATTCCGAACCCAACCATTTATTTCATCCACCGGGATAGATTGTTCTAGTTCCAAGTATCATGCCTCTTCTGGTAGATGAAACAAAGCGTTCGGTTCGAAATTCCAGTTTAAGAAGGCCGGGGCGTACAACGGCCGAAACGTTGTGAATATGGCAATGAAGATAAGGATAACAGTCCGAATAATGCAAATAATGTAAGTAACCATAATACCTCATCTCAGAGATATAGACAGAAGTTACTCGGCCTTGTACAACTGTATATAATTGTATCGTTTTTTTTGTTCATTTGATAAGCCAAATGTAATGCAGGAATTAACGTGATAAGTAGGTAAGTTCTTATCTTAAACATAATCGGTTAAGTACTACACGAGTAACATAGTACATGTAACGTTGCTGGTAATCCCTGACATAGTCGAACATGTATATCTTATGCAAGGGTATGATATACACTTTTGCAAGCACATGCACGAATGCTACAGATTTTCATACTGGTCCATGAACGCTTCAATGTACACATATGAATGTTTTTTTTTCTGTCGCATTTCAGATATGTACTCATAAAACAACATATATTTGCAAATCTTGACATTAAACACATGGTTCTGCATGTGTTGCGCATACGTGTAAAAACCAATAAAACATATGGTTGCAGCTTCTGGGTCAGCATCAAGACGTTAGGTAAACTTTCTGAATTTCATGCTCGTTCAACTAATACATTGTATACTAGTAAAATAAAGATTTTTTTTTTTTTAATCTTTCATCAGCATGACGAGGAGAGTGATTCATTGCGTCTTCACGGACTAACGTTTTCCGCTCACATGAAGTGGACAGAGTTTATTGAATCAGTTGCTAAGTCTGCAGTTAAAAAAGTTGGTTCACTCAGTCGCGGTAGACAATTTTCCCTCCAGAATCTAACTTCCATGTTTATAAGTCTACCATTTGTCCTTGCTTTGAATATTGCTGAAACATCAGTTCAGGTGCTCCTGCTATATATTTATAAAATCTTGATAAAATCCAAAGAAGAATCTGCAATGTTATTGGTCCTGAATTGACATCTCATCTTCAGTTAGTTTCACACCGTAATAATGTAGCTTTCCTGTGCCTTTTCTATAAATGGTGGTAGTTCTGTTGGGCCTCCCTCTTTGGTAGCCAGGATTGATGAACTTAAGCGCAGTACTAGATTGGCGGTAAGGTCTCACCATATTACAGGTGAAATAGCTAGATTTAACGAGGGCTCTATGCTAACAGTTTCTTCTATCACACTTCTCTTTTGTGGAGCTCTCTTCTGGCTCTTTGCTTCTCAGTCAACTTTGCATTTTTGAAGATCAATTTGTCCTCTCTTCTTAATAGTATATTTTTCTCATATTCTCTAATACTCAGTAACCCCTTGCATCTTAATGGCTTTAATACCTTACTTGGGGGTGAAAAAAGAGTATACGAATATTAAATCACAATACAAACAGAAATTCAGTCGTAGTGCAAGTAGACTGGCCCTAACTTGAAAACTCTTGACATCTGACTCTACGATTTTGAGTCAAACCTAGTTGATTAAATTTTTGATTAGTTTCTTTTAATGCTTACGTTTAATATATAGAAGTAGGCATTTCAATGCAATTAAACTAGTAGAGTTATTGAATACAGAATAAAATAAAGATTTTAGTAGCTGTTTTTGGTTAATTTAACGAATTTTCTTTGTTTTTTCTCTTTTAATTTTTTTTTTTGTTGCTTAGGTTAGATGGACGTCAGTAGTTGAGTTGCTTAAATCCACTTTGAATACAGTGGCTTATAAAAGCGTTGCTTACGAGAAAAAAAATCCTCTATTTTATCTTTTTATCCTCTCTTTTATCTAGGTTCCAGTAACTAGTAATAAACAATGGTTTTTTTTTCCAATGCAACGAACCCCAGAAAAACCTTTTCTCTCGGGAGATCACGTTGATGTTGAAGTCTTGTAATGAATCCAATTTTCTTGCCAGTAACCATCTTATCCAAAAAAGTGACATTTTTTTTCCTTTCTTGAAACTGACCGATTTTTAATTCTGAGAGCTATGGCAAAGCAGGCACAAATTAGTAGGGTAAAGAATTAAACGTTGCTTAGAGTTACAAGGGACAGGAAATCATGGAGATCCATTATCGCCAACTTTCTGAAGGAACACGTCACATAAAAGATCATGTTCATGTTTAGATCAGTTTTCTTTCTCTTTTTCGTAAGGGTTTTAAACGATGTTACACATTTGGGTGCACAGACAATAAAACAAGTTGAGTGCACTTGAAAACGGTTCTAAGATACAACATTTAGCGCTGAGAACTTTTGCATCAACCTGATATATAGTGCAACAAAGAAAGAAAATAAGATTCAAATGTTTTTATGTCATTTTACTGTTCTTTTTATTAAACCATTATTATTAAGGTTACTAACAATGGAAATGAGGAAAGAATTGAAATAGAATTAAATATATAATTCAAGGTTTTCTAAACAGTGACTTCCATCTGCATATACATACAATTAACTACTTCTATTTTGCTGATTATGACTGAGAAAATGTATACGAACAAAATGCACATATAAAAGACATTCATGCCATTAGTTGAAAAGTCTTTGTATAGTAATCCGTTCCTCAATGTATCTTCTATTAAGATATCATTCTGACAACGTTGACGATAAATATCCACACACATGCATTAACCCATAGACATTTCTTCGATTTACAGTGTGTGGCATGCAATTGTTAATATTGATATAGAGTCTAACAGCTTTTTTAATTGCCTAATATTCCCAGGCAATTTCTTACTGCCCGTGTATAGCTATTTGAAAATGGTTTGTTCACCAACTACTTTACCCTTTGTTAGAAATTGTGGCATGTAAGTGACGAGACGTTTACGTCAGGAGATCTAATGATGGGACGGATTTTAGACAGTATTGCATCCATACCGTTTTGACGGAGGTTACTACTGTATGAACATCAGCAGATTTAGCGGTAATTCGAACCCTGTTTGTCGATTCCATTATTTGTGCTGATAATCGTTACGATAACTTGTACAGTTTAGTCTTGTGCCATACTAATCTAAACATTGTAAATGGTTGAAATCGCTTTTTATTCCTCAAGGACACATGGCACAGTGGATAAAGGCGTTCGTTAGATCCAGTGACAGTACCCAAAGAGTGTGAGTTCAATACCCGGTTAAGGCAGTGGAGAACTTGGAGAAGGGAATTAACAGGAGATAACTGACATCCATTAAACATGGCACGTGGAACTACAACAGTCTATCACAGTGAGCGAAATAAAGGGTTCAATTCGATATTCCAACCACCTGAAGAAGGCCGATATTCCAACCACCTGAAGAAACGTTGTATTAAATATAGCGACAAAGATGAGGACAATAGTCTGAATAATGTAAATAGTGGTTGAAATCACAGTTTATTCCACATGTATGTTTTCATAAGTGTTATTCTAAACTGTCAGGTGCATACAATCGCTTTCTCAGATCAATGGCTAAAAACGGCTTCGAGCGAGTGAAGCCTGTTGGTCTTGGCGAAAACCACACTTCTTACAACCTCACGGACGGGCACGACATAATCACAATGACCTGTGCCAAATAACATAAACGACGTGACCTGAAGACTTTTAACAGCAGCAACAACTAAAATGGATATCACATGTAACTTATAGAGAAAATAATGACATAATCATGATGTTGAAGTTCCACACTACTTCAAACAAAAGGTTAGGAAGGAAAACTCCCATCAATATTGAAAAGAGCTACAACTTGAGAAAACTATTTTCAAGAAAAAATCTTTTCATAGAAAGATTTTATAAATTTCAACGGCTGCTCGACCAATGAATGTCAAATATTTCCTTATAAGGAAACGGCTAATATCACCATTTTCATTAGATACTCGGATACAAGGGATTGATACTAACACAGTTTTATATATTACGACACGCAACGAAGGTATCCACGTAAACTTAAACTTAACATATGAACACTCACACTCTTTCTCTCTTTTTCTCTCGTATAACGGACACATATCAGTAAATAGATGCTGTGTAATCACACCAATGTATACACAAAAACACAAAGTGACACATTAGTCAATGTACTGATTTATATAAGTAATTGCTCAAACATGTTTCCAATATGCGCGATCTTTTTTTTATCTATTTTTGAAATGTTACATTTATCACTAAATGCATCTTAAGTTCTTAGGCAAAGTTTTCGTGACATTGAAAAATATTACAGCTAGATATTTGTTTGACTCTGAAAAATTTTCACACAAATCGAGATACATAGACCACCGAATAAATAACGAACGCACGAGCCACGGCTCATAGATGAGCTTCATTTCAGTGGCGGGGAATAATGCAAATTCTACAGCAACGGTCCCTTTTTTTTTGCCAGTGACAAAGCTCTTACTCTGCCAAGAGTTAATGTCATAGCTGCAATTGTAATTCTTTCTTGACGTCTGAGTTGGTAAAAAAGAAACTCCTTCTTTTAACTGTCATTAGACTCCCCTATAGAGTATAGCGCACAGTATTTTCTGTATAAAATGGGTTTTAATGAGGCGCTATTTTTTAATTTGGAGTTGGCCTTTCCTTCTCCTAAACTTGTTGCCAGCCAAGGCTAGAGAACTCAGTAAATCTTGCTATTTAACCCATAGCTGGGGACGATGGATGTCATGGAGTCATACTCTTTTGCAAGAGTATTTATAAGTGAACTTCACGAAATTACCAGGAATTTGAACTCTGCACGTTGATTCCGCTTTTCTCACCAATAATTGCTACGACACGAACACGTGGCAAAAGGACGGTATTCCAGAAAAGTTACTTACACAATATTAATTTTTCTGATTCAGTTGAGAAATGTTGGTCATCAATTTATTTATTAGGGTTTTGTCATTGGCAATAGACAGTGTAATGTGGGAAGGTAGATGTAGAATTTGGCCTCTCTTCATAATCTTGTGCTAAAGATACTGAGTCACAACAGAACATACAGGAAGAAAAAAGACAGTTATTAAACATACATACACAAGGCACTAATTGCTTAGTTTCACATTGAAGGAATTTGGCCTTATGTCAGTCACTCAATGTATGCCCCCAAATGTGTGTGTGTGTGTATATATATATATATATATATATATATATATACACACACACACAGCTTTCCAAACATTTTGCATTGTTGACACGATTTCTAAAAATAAATATTTTTACAACGCATTATTTAAGCTTTGTTAGTCAAGCCCAATACAAAATGAACATAAAACGAAATAATTCAATGAACAATTTAGATGAAAATTAAAGAAAGAATGGGTCATTAATTCTACTAGTGTCGCGACATTCCAGTTCGGTATGTCTGTGCACATATATATACATATATGAACATTCTCTTTATGTATGTATGTATGTATGTATGTATATATATATACACACACACACACACCCAACAGCCAACAGAAGGCTCAAATCTGTATCACATTTATCTCGAGATATATATATATATATATATATATATATATATATATATATATATATATATATAGTCTATTCATTCTGTTGGATGATACCTTTTAAAGAACGAAGAGTGGATTTTTTTTTTATCTTGTGAGCAAGTTCAAACCCACCCTCTCAATATTATCTTCAATATCCAGCGGTATTCTTATATATATATATATATATATATATCTATAACAATGGACATTTGCGTATATGCGCACATATTTGTTATTACAAAAAGAAGTAGGAAAGAATAAATATTTTATTTTAAAATAGTCGAAATCCCCCACTTCCACATTTATATCTGTTTTCATTAGAACAAAAAGAAAAACGTTTCCGAACGAATTATATATAACCAATTGTCGGAAGGCCGCTGGTATTTTTTGTCTTTCTTTTTCTAACCTCCTTTTTTTTCTCTATTTTCTCATTTAATTTCAATTTACACCAGTTCATGTATTCTATTATCCTGACTTTATTGGTCGGTTGCCCCATTATTGAAGATCGGAGCTGACTGGAGATGGAAGGGGATCACTATGCATTGTGAGCAAAGTTACAGTGTCGGTGTATTTATTATCAGAGCAAACAGAACGAGCAAAACAAGAAAAATTCCGTAAGGCTTTCCACCCACCTCTCATTCTAATTGTAAATATTAATCATCTGACCAGCGTCAACAGTACCACCCTCAGACTATTGTTCTTCACTTACTATATCTTCGTTCATTCTTCTTAGACTTTATCAACATCTAAGAAAGACTTCATCGCTATTTTATTGTATACGATACTTTTCATCATCTTACTCTAGGCCTTGTGAGTATTACAAAAATATTAAGGCTTTCGTTTAATTTAAATTTCAAATAAAGCATGAAGTTAGGCTCTTTTGAGCTGCTCAGTAGGCCCAGCATAGGAACATTGTAGGAAAGAACAGACAAGGTTTACAACTCAAAAATTTCAACACTACAATACAATGGACTAATGCAGATTAGTTATCTGGTGGTTGTGTGTCCCATCTCTGACAGTTGAATCAGTATACTCTAGTATAGCGGAGAAAACAAAAATGGCACCTCAAGGATGGATGAACTAATACGAGTTATTTCCCCTTGGACTGGATAATAGCTATAGACAAATTTACCCCGTGGGTTGAATATAGGTTTCAGGAATGCTACCAAATACAAGAAGAAGACCAGAGAATACAGTTGCCGAAATGTTGTAACTATATTAATCAAGATGACAAGTTCGAATGAATCAGTGTATAATATTGATAATTTCTCATCTTAGAAATTAAAACACGAAAAATGACATCTTTATCATAATATTAATTTCTAAGTCGGAAACCTCGACGTTGTGTAATGGTTAGCAAGTTTATTTCACTAGAACAATTACAACTGGGTAGGCTGTTCGATCCGCAGTGGGTGCTCCATACTTTCAGCCTTGTGTCATTAAAGTGTAATTCAGCAAAATGAAAAATGTCTTCGTAATAAATGTATGGTGGTTTTTACAAATAATGAAACAGGGTGTTTGTACTACAAAGTATTTCTATTTTTAAAATGGCTTACCGGCAACGCGAATTGCAACTGAAACTAACATCAAATCTCAATTGTTTTTTGTTTTTTTCGTTTCTTTTTACGCACTATTACTAAACTGAGGAAAAAAATTATTCTTGTCAAATGAAAATTCCTTGTCTAAAACAAACTCACCTCTATAAGCTTGTAATACAAGCAAAAAAATAAAATGTAAAACTTGTTTTCAGGATTTTAGCCTCGTCCGTGTGTTCACCTTCCAGTCACGGCTTGTGTTTTGATATACTCAATCGCTTATTAGACCGTTTTAGTAACGCATGTGCTTGGCTCATATAAAAACATTTAGTTAGATAAGGTTTCAAACACATACAAACCATATATACAAACGCTTAGGAAAAAGAGAAACAGATGCGGTTAACTGCAATAATATATAATAATACTCATTCTATTGTCAGCGAGGCAAACAACTTTTTGGCGTAACGAATATTTAGACAATATCGTTATCCAAAAGTAGTGCGATACAGTTTGCTTTTATCCGCTTACTTTAAGATAAGACAATATCTCAACTTGTTGTTTCCACTGGTTTTACGCGTATTGTGATCGGCAATATGTAAGTGATTCTTAGGCTTTCCTCAACGCCTCCTATAGATATTAGATCGGCTTCATATTTTCTCGTAAACTTAGAGATATTTCGGTCCTCACAAGGTGTCCCACACTTGTAGCATTGTCATACTTAAGGGATATGGCTATCTCTCCTTGGAATAGTTATCACATAATTTTTATGTTTCTAATAAATTCTGTTCGGTGCTTCAAAATTATGACCTTCTGCATATTACGTTAAACTTCTTAAATAATAATTGATGCGTTCAAAATCAAACCTGAAGCAAATGAGTAACTCTGACCAGAATACGTGTTTGTTTTCAATTTTGATGAAATAAAGAAAAACGAAAAAAAAAAAAAAAAAAAGGTGACAGATAAAAAAAAACAAACAAATAAATTGGCAATTAATTTTTTGCCTTTCCAGCAGACATAAAATTTTATGACAGTGCAGTAAAATATTTACACTATTTATTTGTTTAGGCTGTTGTCCTCATATTTATTTTCATATTCACGACGTTTCAGCTCCGGCCTTCTTCAGCTGACATACGTTGGAATATTGAACCGAAACCTTTTAGTTCTCGGAGGTAGAATATTGTAGTTACAAGTCTCATAACTTTGCTGGATATAGCAATAAAGATGAGAACAACAGTCGGAAAAATGTAAATAGTGTAAATAGTTACAATACACCATCTCAGAAATATAAACAGATGGAATAAAATAGATTTAACACTTTCGCATTTCCGGTTTCGTTTTCAAATATATTCCATAATAAATTCTGTTAAAATATTAATTTACGTGTTTCTCCAGGAAAATTAATTACAGAATTTTTATTTTATTTATTTTTTAAAGTCTATACCGATAAAGCAGAAAACCTTTCTCGGAAGTTCACTCCATATTATCTCGTCTTTTTGGCTAAGTACTCGAGGCTTTAATCAACTTTGAATTGGTTAGCATCTCGCTCCACACGGCCTTCTTTCAGATAAACAATGTGGTTTTCATTTCTCTAGGTAAACTGCCGATCTATTAAGTGTTATTACTGAATTTGTCTATCAGGCTTCAGATAAAAACGACTAGACTCGGACTGTGGTTTTAGACATCTTCAAGGCATTTGACAGTGTTTGACATGCTGACCTTCTCCACAAGCTTAAGGGCTATGTTGTCTCTCCGGATATTTGAATTAATTCAATCATTGTTAACAAATCGTGTAACGAGAGTCGTATTGAACGTCCATTTTCACATTAATGCTGGGGTTACTCGATGCTTTATCCTTTGAGTAAAATTGGCAGCTGGCCTCCAAAATACTTCTAATCAATTATTAACTGGAGCAAGAAATGTCTCGTAAATTTTAAAGCTTCTAAAACGAAACTGCTATGCTTTAATCATCATAGAGAACCATTTTTGCTATCTATCAGCATGGCTGATGCTAACCTCCACGAGACTGACTTTGCAACTTCTTGGTCTCACGTTTTCCACCAACATGAAGTGGAATGAATATAGTGAATCAGTTCTATGTCTACTAGACGATTGTTCTTATCAGAATCCATCTTGCACATTTATAATGCGTCTATTTCAAATACGAGAATCCGCTAAATAATATCGCTTGAAGTAATAAAATGATGGATTACAAATAAATCCATTATTTTATATATATATATATATATAGAGAGAGAGAGAGAGATTTTGTATATCTAGGCAGCAATTTTTCATCAATGCATGTTTCATTAAATAATATAGACAAGTTTTGTTCTTTTTGTCTGATAAGCCTCATAACATTATAATTGAAAAAGGAAAGGAAATCACCAGATTGATACATGTTTAAATCCGATCTAAGCTTTCGGCTTACATAAGCCATTACAAAGATGACAATTACTTTTCAATATATCAACCAATACCCGGACGAAACAATAATGAGAGTCTGTTTTTGTTGCATGAAAAATTTTAAAGCAACGATTAACTCGTGTATACGAGACGCGGAAGCGAAAATCGCGTTGCAGCTCGTGACATCACACATAACCACGCGAGAGTGAAAACGAGAACAAATTTACTATTTTGCCATACAAAAAAACCTACCAGCATGAAGTCATGTACACTTAACTACAAAAGCCAATGTCCATATTACTACAAAATTGCAATTATAAAAAAATCTTATATATCGTGCAGAAACTAATTCGTCTACAAAACTAAAGAATATAAACACTTATTAATAATAGCTTTACAAACTATATAGTTGATGAACAAATAAAATGCTTTCTTAGAAGTCTTAATACTAAGCAAATAGTACATAATACTGCTTCAACTAATCCCAAACATTAATCTCTTATATCGTAGTCAAATGCATACTAATTATAAACAAGATGAAAAAATTAGTAAATACTAAAATATCCACAACAGATCCTAGCAAAAAAATTAGGTTAATCATATACTACACTAAATCTAATATATCCAACTTAATTATTCGCAATGATTCTTCCCTCCTCCCCGTTAGCGATTTGCAAAACACCAACATAGTTTACAAATTCAAGTGTCCTTTGGGAGATTGTATCTCCAATGGATTAAATAATATTTATGTTGGTCACACCACAAACTCGCTTTCATGACGCTTGACTCTACATTTGAATGATAACTCTAACATTTTTAGGCATTTAAAACATGTGTGGCTGCGTACACAATTCTGGAAAATCCTTGTTGAAAACACAACTATACTTAAACATGAAAACAATAAACAAAAACTAAAAATTCTTGAAGCTATATACATAAAACAGTTGAAACCTAACCTGAGCAAAATAAACTACGAAATCTCCACAAATATTCTTAAATGCCTATAATTGATAACAGAAGCCATTGGTTTATACCAACGGCTTCCCATACTTAATATTTCTCGTTTTCACTCTCGTGTGGTCATGTGTGACATCACGAGGCCAAAGCAATATGAGAACACATTTCAGGTAGATTGACACGATTTCTAGAGAATAATCTAGAAATATTATGTAGCGATGCTGAAAAAGTTGCTGCCAAAATAGTGGGTCAGCTGCCAAATTTTCCCATCTAAAGGATTAATGGATTTATTTTTAACCTGGCATTTTATAACTTCAAACGATATTATAGGGGATACTCGTATTTGAAATAGATGTATGTAGTATTAGAAATATTTTTTTTATTTTAATTTTAAAGAGTATTTATTGAGTCTGTGGACATGTGCAAGATCAACGGCCAGCCAAGAAAAGATTTGAGAACAAATTATGTTTGGTGCTTTTGCACATATTTTAAAAAGTGAACTTTTTTTGTATCTTCTCTCTCTCTCTTGACTGTCGCCCTCTCTCTCTCTTGACTGTCGCCTTCTCTCTCTCTCTCTTGGCTGTCGCCTCTCTCTCTCTCTTGGCTGTCGCCCCTCCCTCTCTCTCTTGGCTGTCGCCCCTCCCTCTCTCTCTTGGCTGTCGCCCCTCCCTCTCTCTCTTGGCTGTCGCCCCTCCCTCTCTCTCTTGGCTGTCGCCCCTCCTTCTCTCTCTTGGCTGTCGCCCCTCTCTCTCTCTCTTGGCTGTCGCCCCTCTCTCTCTGTAGGATATCTCTACCTACTTTCTTTCTGCGATCTCTCTTCTATCTCTGTCTTCTTCGCTATCTCCGTCTCCCTCTCTCTTCTTAGTCGCTATCTCTGTCTTTCTCTCTCTTCTCTTTTTTTTTTCTATCTCCTCATTTTCTCCTCATTCTCGGTCTCCCTCCACTTCTCCTCATTCTCGGTCTCCCTCCACTTCTTCTCATTCTCGGTCTCCCTCCACTTCTCCTCATTCTCGGTCTCCCTCCACTTCTCCTCATTCTCGGTCTCCCTCCACTTCTCCTCATTCTCGGTCTCCCTCCACTTCTCCTCATTCTCGGTCTCCCTCCACTTCTCCTCATTCTCGGTCTCCCTCCACTTCTTCTCATTCTCGGTCTCCCTCCACTTCTCCTCATTCTCGGTAATCCCTCCCTTCTCCTCATTCTCGGTCTCCCTCCACTTCTCCTCATTCTCGGTCTCCCTCCACTTCTCCTCATTCTCGGTCTCCCTCCACTTCTCCTCATTCTTGGTCTCCCTCCACTTCTCCTCATTCTACCGGTCTCCCTCCCTTCTCCTCATTAGGAAGTCTCCCTCCACTTCTCCTCATTCTCGGTCTCCCTCCACTTCTCCTCATTCTCGGTCTCCCTCCACTTCTCCTCATTCTCGGTCTCCCTCCACTTCTCCTCATTCTATTTCTCCCTCCACTTCTCCTCATTCTCGGTCTTCTCCTCATTCTCGGTCTCCTCCACTTCTCCTCATTCTCGGTCTCTCTCTCTATCTGACCTCTTCTGAAGGTCGGTCTCTCTCTCTCTCTGACCTCTTCTACTCGGTCTCTCTCTCTCTCTGACCTCTCTGGTTTCTCTCTCTCTCTCTGACCTCTTTCTCTCAGTCTCTCTCTCTCTCTCTTCCCTCTTCTTCCTCGGTCTCTCTCTCTCTCTCTGACCAAATCTACTCGGTCTCTCTCTCTCTCTGACCTCTTCTACAAAGTCTCTCTCTCTCAAAACATTCTCTCGGTCTCTCTCTCTCTCTGACCTCCCATTCGGTCTCTCTTCTCTGAATTCTACTTGTCTCTCTCTCTCTCTCTCTCTGACCCTCTTATAAAAAATCTCTTCTCTCTTCCTCATTTAAAGTCTCTCTCTCTCTCTCTCTTAACCTGTTCTCTCAGTCTCTCTCTCTCTCCCTCTTCTACTCGGTCTCTCTCTCTCTCTCTGACTCCTCTTCTTTCAATCTCTCTCTCTCTCTCTGGACCTCTTCCCTTGGTCTCTCTCTCTCTCTTGACCTCTTCTCTCTTGGTCTCTCTCTCTCTCTCTCTGGCCTCTTCTATTCTCTCTCTCTCTCTCTGAACCTCTTCTAAATCGGTCTCTCTCTCTCTCTGACCTCTTCTACTCGGTCTCTCTCTCTCTCTCTGACCTCTTCTACTCGGTCTCTCTCTCTCTCTCTGACCTCTTCTACTCGGTCTCTCTCTCTCTGACCTCTTCTACTCGGTCTCTCTCTCTCTCTGACCCTCTTCTCATTCTCTCTCTCTCTCTGACCTCTTCTACTCGGTCTCTCTCTCTCTGACCTTTTCTACTCGGTCTCTCTCTCTCTCTGACCTCTTCTACTCGGTCTCTCTCTCTCTCTGACCTCTTCTACTCGGTCTCTCTCTCTCTTTCCACTTCTTATTGGTCTTTTTTTCTTTTTGTATTGTCTTTTTTTCTCTCTCTCTTCTTGTCCTTTTTTTTCTCTCTTTCTCTTGTCCTTTTTTTTTCTCTCTTTCTCTTGTCCTTTTTTTTTCTCTCTTTCTCTTGTCCTTTTTTTTTCTCTCTTTCCTTTTTTTTTCTTTTTCTCTTTTTTTTTTCTCTTTCTCTTGTTTATTTTTTTTTTCTCTTTCTTCTTGTCCTTTTTTTTTCTCTCTTTCTCTTCTTGTCCTTTGTTTTCGCTCTCTCTTTCTCTTCTTGTCCTTTGTTTTCGCTCTCTCTTTCTCTTCTTGTCCTTTTTTTTCGCTCTCTTTCTTCTTGTCCTTTTTTTCGCTCTCTTTCTTCTTGTCCTTTTTTTTCGGTTATAATCTTTCTTCTTGTCCTTTTTTAAATCTCTTTCTTCTTGTCCTTTTTTTTCTCTCTTTTCTCTTCTTGTCCATTTTTTTTTCAAATTTGTCCTTTTTTTCGCTCTCTTTCTCTTCTTGTCCTTTTTTCTCTTTCTCTCTCTCTCTTCTCGTCTCTTTCTCTCGTTCCGCTGTGATTGTGTGAATAGAAAGATTCGTAGGAGAAAAAATATAATGGTACACCAGTTACAGCTGATTAATGTATTCAAATTATATGTACTTGCAGTCACTTGTAAGCACGAACTAATATAGAATTAAAAAAACAAATCACTGATATATTTTTGAATTACGCGGTAAATGTTACAGTTTGCATCACTTATCAAGAGTGTAAATCATAAATATTTTTTCTTAATTAGTACGCTTTTTCAGTTTTTTTCCAAATGCCATGTTCCTTTAGGACGTAGAACATCGTGGCTCTCCGCAGATTTTTTTCTTCTACTATAATATTTTTACTATGATGTTCACCCTGTATAAGCCTAAGAGACACTCAAGGTACAGGGATACAAAGTAAGAGGCATCCGCCACAAGATAATAGTGCCACCAAGATGCAAGGTCCCACCCTAAACATGAAACGATGGAAAAAGATTTACTTCTTTTTAAAAGTATAAGGAGGAGTATAAGTAGGCCTGTCTACTCCTGTTTAAAAAATAGTTTAGTTAGTCATCCAGGAGGCGGAGATGTTTCCCTTACGAATTAAAGCGATTCCTCCTTATTTCCATTAACGTTATTCTCCCTCAGTTAGAGAATGAAATGCATTAGGATAGGTTACTTAGGGAACTGACAGTATATTGTCCATTAACCCTATAACACTAAGCATCAATTAAAGTTACACCACTACTAACCATGGGTATATCATACCCGATTTTGAAAATATAAAAAAAATAAATATAAATCTTTATTTGAAATATTTTACATGCGGGCACGTCAAACTTTGTACTTTGAGTTAACATTAATAGGAACTGAAAAACATATTTAGGTAAGAAAATCAGATACTGAAAATTGTAATTAAAAATAAGAAAATTTGCGCTGGGTATATTATACCTATGGTTAGTGTTCTAGAGTTAAATTTTAGCATAAAATATCCTTTAACAGAATAAAATTCAGTGCAGACTTAAAAGTAATGTTACCCGAATCCCCATCAGGACTATTTCAGAAAAGTAAGTTACTTGGATAAAGATCGAATATCTTACTTTTAGTTACGGGCGAATACTTACATGAGCTTTCTAGGACCCCTAAAATACAGGCATCACTTCCTATGGTCAACGTTGTCTTAGGAGGTACATCACCTTCCATCACCTTAGTGGGTGTAGGAGGGAACATTAGATATTTCATGCCAGTTTATTTCTAACTGAAGAAAAAAATTAGCTGTAGATGGGGTAATGTTTGGGAAAATAATGGCGTGTTTCCTTGCTGCTTTCCCTATGGTTTTAAATTCTAGTTTTCGTTCTCCTAGACTGGTTGCCACTCAAGGCTAGAAATCTTACTCTATCCTATTATTTAACCTATTTTCAGATTACATGTTTCCAATAGTTGTAAAATTATAGACTTCGCTCCAAAATTAATGGCTAATATATAAAGCTTTCGTATAGCTTACTATTATTGAACGTGTAAAACGCCTGATTAACAGTTCGCTTATAACGAGTAAGTGGGGAGATATTATTAGTTTTGAACATTTATTCCTACGTATGAAGACGAGACAAATATTTTGTATACACAAAAGAAGTCAAATTATTCTGCAGAGCCATACTATCGTACATAATCCCATGCATTACTAGAAATATCAGAAGTAAGTCATAGTAAAGTACGCCCAGTGAAGAACCAGGCAGAAACGTGAAATGGCTAAGCAGAGGCGGACTTCCATCGAAATGATAGCATAGCTTTCTATTTATGTTATTCTCATTATGGCGTCACTCAGAGGGCAGAGCGAATAAATTTGCATTGAGCCGACTGATTTTAGCAAATTATTAATTAACGCTACACGTCACCCTAAGAGAGGGCGGATGGGGGAGGTGGCGACTGTAATTAGCCTGTAGCTTTTGTGCCCTCTTATCAGCAGCATACATAAAAATAACGTGTTGGCCGCGTTAAATGTAGATATTATTTTTTTTCTCCGCGACCTTATTACCTCCCTTAGAGTACAGCTGTGATGTGTGTGTGTGGGACAATCTGGTACCTGCGTAACTGAATGAAGAACGAAGTGTGAAGGTCGTCTATCGAAAACGATGCTATGAATTCAGTGCAGTTTAGTAACGTACGATCTACAACTCCTACATTGCAAGCGATTGCAGTGTTGTATTGATTTATTTTGTGTGTGTGTGTGTTCGAGGTAGCATACTCATGACAAAGTGTAGGCTGTTTGGTTTAAAGGTTGGCAGAAATGCATCTCAGCGTGTTAAGAAGCGTGCAATCGATATGAAATTGGTTGTTTAAGAAACTCACATCTTTCCTGCTACAACAGAACAATTACTGCAGTAACGAACAGTGATTCTCACTGAGTGACTTGTAAATATCTATGCGGAAATTTCCCGTGAATCTGGTTAACAATCTAGTCTCGTAAACCACAACTACATGGTGTGAGTTCAATCCTCACTCTTGGGACCGATATTTGCGACATCGTGTCACACAAAAAAATGAACTTTTTCGATAATTATCAGATGAAATATAGATACATTTATTAAACGATATTTCTCTATTTCTGAGACGAAGTATTGTAACTATTTACACTATTTACATTGTTCGGACAGTTGTCCCCATCTTCGTTGTTATATTCACCACGTTTCGGCCGTTGTACGCTCCGGCCATCTTCAGGATGTGTCTATATTTCTGGGACGAGGTATTGTAACTATTTACACTATTTACAATGTTCGGACTGTTGTCCTCATCTTTGTTGTAAATATAACAACGATTAGAGCAACGGTACGAACATTGTAATATAGATAGTGTAAATATTTATTATACGATTTAACTAGCCAAATTTGATTTTCAAATGTTGATATTAAAAACGAAGTTTATAAGTTATTTATTAATCTCTTCTTTTAAAAAGTACTCTTGATTTCAGTAGATAACTTGATTTAAAAAAAATTGAGACGGCCATAGTTAAGTACGTAGCCTAATGATAAAATGAGATTTATTTTATAAAAAAAATCAACATAATTTCTTCTTTTGCTAATATTAATATTAAATATTGCATATTAATACATGTAACATATTTCAAAACTTTGTTAGCGTGTTCATTTTTATTTCGTTTTGTCTAAAATGAAACCTTTCAATTACGTTCTTCCGACTTCTTCCGAGCTGTTTTTATTATTATTATGGGTAAAATTTCTATACTTATGGCAGGTAGTATTGAGACTACCCTTACATTCGATGATTTTCTAAGCGTATTCGGTACCCAGCGAAAATCGATCTTGCTACTCAGTCATAATTGTACTAGCGAAACAATCTTGCTAACCATTGAAACACACAAGTCGCCCTTATGTGGTAAACACCAAAAAGGTTGAATAGCATACAATGAAATTTTAAATATAAATTCCACCATTAGGTCAAAATGTTAACTTTTTATTTCTTCACTTTTTCGTCGACATTTTGTAAAAAATATTTTCAAGAAGTTTTGTCCTTGTCATAGTTTGTCATTTAAAGACCTCAAATCTGGAGACAGAAGATGCGTTTTGGTTAATGACTGAACTGAAGAATAAATTCTATATTAATTATCATGAATTTCGTTTGTTAAGGACTTTTTCTTCCATTTATTTACAATCTCTACTTAATTTTATTTAACTAATGGATCATTCATAAATTTATTTAATAAAATATATTATTGAAGTTTATTGAATAAATGGTGCCAAACTGAAACTAGAAAACACAAACAATAATATCAAACATCCAATGGAAGTGTAAAATTCTGTGTGCGCGCGCACGCACACACACACACACACATATATATATATACACACATACACTGTACACATATATTTGTAGGTAGTTCTTACATTCTTTCATCTAATGTACAATAAGGCGTATATAGACATATATGAAAAATATTTTTATATATATTTGTGTTTGGAATTTCCGTTTTTTTATATATTAGATGGTGTTATTTTTATACGTAAATATCTGTTTTAATGTCCTTTCTTTCCCTATTGTTTGTTTCTCTGTTCTATTAGACCATTTTTATCTATGTATATTTGCCCGTATAAGTTATATTTTAATAAGTGGTTAGAATTTATTAACACCTTCAATCTTGAATATTTCTTGGGTGTTATA